AAGATAGATTTAGAAGTATATGATGAGGTGGATAATCTCTACCTTGACTATACACCTTGGACTCTCATGTTTGATGGATCAAACACTCATGATAGAGAGGGAGCTAGAATAGTCATCATTTCACCAAAGGGAAGAAAAAGCACATTTTCTTTCTTCTTGGATTTCAAGTGTATAAACAACCAGGCACTAATTATTGGGCTCGAAATCCTGCTAAAGCTAAAGGTGGATAAGGTCTAGATTATTGGATATTCCAACTTGATACTTAACCAACTTTCTGAAGAATATAGATATCTTAACTGGTATTTGAGGCCTTTCCACTCTTTAGCTTTGGAATTACTATGCCCGTTTGATGATTTCCAACTCAAATATTGGCCAAGGCATTTAAACACAAAGGCTGATGATCTAGCACAACTAGCCTCTCAAGTAAAAGTCCCACTAGGTGTGGAAGAAAATTGATTACAATCAAAAGAAAGACTCGCCCTTCTGTAGAGTCACGGCATGAGATGGTAGGTTATTTCCAAGCTGACAAGCTAGAAAAAATCAAACCTGCCAAGAAGGCATAGGAGATTTTCAATGTTAATATAGATGGATTAGATTTGAAAGATTGGAGAACACCAATTATTCCTTTCTTGCAGGATCCTAGTGCCAATGTGGACAAAAGAGTTCAGCTTTTGGCACCATATTATATTTTAATTGATGGAGATCTCTACCAAAGAATGAAGAAGATGGACTCTTGCTAAGATGCCTTGGATGGAATGAGTCCATAAGAGTGATGGTAGAATCACACCTTAGAATATGCGGAGCTCATCAAGCTAGAATCAAGATGAGGTGGCTTCTTAGAAGGTATAGTTATTATTGGAAAGACATATTGAAAGATTGCATAGAGTTTACAAAGACTTGTATTGCATGTCAAGAACATGGCCAGGTCCAAAAACTTCCAGCTATCAATATGCAGCCGGTAGTGAAAATATAGCCATTTAAAGGGTGGGCTTTAGACTTTATTAGAAAGTTAAGGCCACTATCTGCAAATGGCCACACCTATATGTTGGTTGCAATCGATTATTTCACAAAGTGGGTGGAGGCTATTCCATTGAAGACCTGTGAATAGTCAACAGTAATTGATTTTATCAAGAAGCACATTATACATAGGTTTGGAATTCCAGAGACCCTCACCACTAACAGAGGACTTGCCTTTGTTGGAAACAAAGTTCTTGATTATTGTGCTGAATGTGGTGCCCAAGTGATCAGTTCTACTCTATATTTTGCCCAAGCAAATAGACAGGCAGAATCTTCCAACAAAGTAATTCTCAACATCCTTGAGAAGATGATTGAGAAACATCCGAAGGAGTGGCATCACCTACTTTCTAAGGCCCTTTGGGCTTACACCATATATGCTTACATATGGACATGATGTCGTTTTTCTAATATAAATGACCATTAGGTCTGCAGGGTGGCTTTCCAAAATAAACTAACTCCAACAGATTACAACCATGCCATGTTGGTAGAATTAAAAGACCTTGATGAAGTCCGTCTCAATGCCTTAGACCATGTTATTGCTTAAAAGAAGAAAGTCATGGGGACATACAACAAAAAGGTTAAGGCAAAGACATTTGCTGAAAGAGACCTGGTATGGCAAGTCAAATTTCCACCTAGAGTCAAAGACAAAGAATATGGAAAATGGACTCCTAATTAGGATGGTCCTTACTTGATGGAACGAGTCCTTGGAAAAGGGGCTTATAGATTGATGGACATAGATGGAGGATCCCACAAGTATCCTATGAATGGTGTATACTTGAAAGAATATCACCCTTCCATCTCTGAAAACTGGAAATTCACAATCATTCAACCAGCCATGTAAAATGGCTGGTATCTTCTTTTCCAAGTAAACCGGAAAGCTGGAAAGGAAGCGTAATGGCCATACTTTAGCCATTCCAAAAAGAAAAAGCTAATTACTTGGAAAAGTACATTGGCTAAAATTATAAAACATGCTTAGCTAAATTTTCAAAATCAACTGATTTCCTAAGTATGGAGCATTTCATTAAGAAGAGGCTACATTACATGGTCCAAGTTCTATTCATACTGGAAATTACTTATCTTGCTTGTATATACATGCATTTCCATGTTAGCAATTCTAAGTTAAGTCCAACCATATTGAAAGTACCTGAGAAACTTTCTTATCCCTTCGTTTTATACAAACCATCATCTCCTTCTTCCAGTACCTCCACTTCTTCTTCTTCAATTTCTTTTTCTTCTTCTTCATGATGGAGAAATTCAAATCTCATGTCTTGTCATCAAATTATTCCACAAGGCATGGAATTTGGGGGCCATATGTTTACTCCATTATTTTTGGCCCAATTGAAAAGTGACATGTGGTGAGTTCCATTGGAACTTACCATGTTGGATCACAACTCTAATTAGTCATTTTGGAGTATTAGAAGTTGTGTAATATTATGCGGTAATTGAAATCAAAGACAAGTGGCCAGTATAATCCCACTACCATTTCTATTTTTAAAGGAAAAATGAGAATCCTATTAGGATTTTCCATCTTTAAATCAAGGGTCCAAATATTCCTATTTGGAAAGAGGAATTATGACATGGAAATACTACCATGAAGGTAACCTCAGGAAATTTCTAAGACAAAGTTAACCAATTGGCTCTCGACACATGGCGAGTTATATAGAACTTACCACATTATATCAATTCTTTAGGGAATTGTTGTTGGATCAGAATCGTGTTTCCAAGTAAATGGATAATTTCCATTCTGACAAGACCAAGAGTTGACCAAGCTAGAAGAAGGAGAATGTGGGGTGGATTTTCTCCTAAATTTAAAGAGGTCCCAACAGCTATTTTTTGACTAATTCAACGACGTGGCTAAAAAAAAGGAAGTTGGTTGATAGCAAAATATATTTTTGGATATACATATATATATATGTGTGTGTGTGTACAAATATATATATATATATATATATATATATATATATATATATACTACCCACGATGGAAAGACTGCTAAAATCAAGGAGTCTATGGCGCCATGAACTCCAAACTCAAAAGGAAAGTCTCAAAAAGAGAAATTACCAAAAATCTAATATATATATATATATATATATATATATATATATATATGTATATTAGAATATTACCCACGATGGAAAGACTGCTAAAATCAAGGAGTCCATGGTGCCATGAACTCCAAACTCAAAAGGAAAGTCTCAAAAAGAGGAATTACCAAAAATCCAAGGAACATGATCTGCAGAAGAAAAGGGATGTGGGATGATTTATATTTATGAATATATATATATATATATATATGTTTATGCATATATATATTTATATCAGATTTAGTCCACAATGAAGAAGTTGCTGAAATCCAGGGGCCACAACACCATGAAACAAAGACCAGAAAAGGAAAGTTCAACTGGAAGGAAGTTACACAAAGCCGAGTAGAACGTGGTCCGCAAATAACTTTTATATACATGCATGATGTATATAGAATTATATAGAAAGAAGGATTCTCAGAAGGAAAAAATTATCAAAGACATGGGGTACTTGACCAATATACTTCAATTGAAAGTGGCAGTGTTTCATGCCATTATTGCTACTAACTGAGGAAGTTGTTGAAGATTGTGGATGACAAGAAGGGGCGGAGCTCCCTGTGGGCTAACCTGGGCTATAGCCAAGGTCCATAATATAAAAAAATAAAAATTAGTATTACTATTTCCTATTAGCCATAGCCCAGCCCAGCCCAGCCCAAGTTGCCTAATCCATAATAAAACCTAAATGATAAATGGCCCAGCCCAGAAAACAAGCCTACAAACAAATTAGAACTAGAAGATTGAAGAAGACCTAGGGGCTGTTTGGTATGATGTGGTATTATTTTTGATATTTTCATCTTTTCTGCTTGAATTTTTTTTTTCCCAGTAAATTTTCTACTTAAATTTTTTCTTTAGCCCCCCTATTTTCAAATCCTGGTTCCGCCTCTGATGACAAGGATTAAGTTAATAAAATCGTGTCTGAAATAACTGATAAGACCATACATGAGGGAGAAGACTAAGGAAGACATGGGACACGTGGCATGGTCCGAACTTTCTAGGTGGAAGTTCTCAACTGTTGCTGCAACTGCTGCCTTTCCATCTGGGCAGTTCCAAAACGTGGGAGAAGGCTTACAAACATGTATACAACTGCCAAGACCACTATTTACTAGTTGTAGATCATGGGAGAATATGGTTTTATACTTGGCAACATTGAGAGAAGGCTGAAAGATCATGGAACACTTGGCAGTTTGAGGAAAGGCCAAGTGTAAGCTACTGAAACTGTCACATTTCCAACTGCTATAAAGAAACTTCATAAATAGAGCACTTAGGCTTAATATACAAATCATGTTCAACACACACAACAAATAGCACCTTATCTTTCAATTACATTTCATGTCTCTTTACATTCATGTAATGCACCTTCAATATATTTTATTCAAGTCGTACACTTAATATTCTTACTTTTCAGCACTCTACTTTAAAGTCCTGCACTTTCAATACCGCAGTTCTTTCCACTAGCCAGTCCAAAAGACCTTTTTCAAGGCAAAAAAAACCTCTGAAGGTGGTAATTCCAGCCCTTCGTACAGTCACCTGACCCTTGCAATCTCTTACTGGATAATTGTTCGGATACTCACTTTAGAACGATAGCAGTTCCTGGCACGCCCACAATTCACCCTCCTTTCCACACTTGGAAAGACCACGATTTTTGGGAGCCGAACATATATATATATAATTGAAGAATTAAATTAAAATATTTACAAACATTTTTCCTCACGTGCAATACATGTTCATTTTTCTAGTATTGATATATGTGTAATTGATGGTTAAGGATATAATAATTATGAAAAATATGATAAAATAATATTCACCCTAAATATTTTTTTAACTAGGAAAATAATATTCATATTAAATCATCATTAATATAATTTAATTATATTTTTATTATAACATTACTAACTTGACCCAAATTCAAATACTTCAGCCTTTCCATCTTATCAAGTTCTGAACAATTACAAATACATAATATTGACTACTTATTTAAGTTTGACAAATCGGGCATGTTTTCAGAGGTTGCGCGCAGCATCTTCCCGGCTTATTCATACAAACCTGTCAACGATCGTGATTTTCCAAGCCCCTTGAACCCTTTTTGGGCTTATCGCGACACTCTTTGACAAAATTTTCAAATTTGATACATCTGACAACTTTTCCATTGAATCACAAATCGCAAGAGAGAACTCAACTAGAGTTGAGGTAAATCCAATATACAATGGTGATCCTCACAGGATCGTATGAGGAGCACCTTCAGCTGAGAAAGGAAACCAATATTTTTTTGGTATAAACTTAATTTGGTACCATCATAGGTCAGTTTTTCCAATTTGGATAATTTCCCACTATCTGTGGGCATCTCCACAACATTATCACGATCACCTCAAGCATGTCAAAACCCGAAATGCAAGCTGGTAAGCTTCGAATTTTGGAACCATAAAACCTCAAGCATCTCAAAGATGCAGTCCTTTCATATTACCACCGGCAGATCCAAAGTGGGCTTAGGTGTGCTCACCACCAAAAAAAAATTTCTTTACTATGCCTAATTTTAGCACAGCCAAAAAAAAAAAAATATTATTGATATTAGCCAACGCAAAAGAATATTAGCCTACCCCATTGACAATTCCTGAATCCGCTCTTCCATGTTATACACATTGCCAAATCGAGATCCTCTCCGTACTTCTAGATTGCCGAATCGAAGTCCTCTCCGTACTTCCAGATTGCCCAATCCAAATCCTCTCCGTACTTCCAGATTCTCTAATATGTTAATTTGATCAGGCAACTTGGCTATAGCAACATATGAAATATCAAGCACTTTCAAATTCTTTAGATTGTCAATGGAGTCAATGTTGACCAAACTTCCACAGTGTGCAAAATTCAATATCTCTAAATGTGCACATGACGAGAAGTTTGGAGGAGTCCTCGTTAAATCACAACAATAATCCACCAGTAGAACTTTTAACTTTTTCTCCATCTGTTAAAAATAAATAAATAGGCACCAAAGAAAAATTAATAAGAACAATAATTTCAAACAAATGTAATTAAGATAGGACACGAGAAACAAAAGTAGAGGTATTACACAAGACCTTGATTTGTTTCCAACCCCCCCATTCTTCTGTGATGCTACTATTTGATAGATTAAGAATGACCAGATTCTTCATATGAAAATTAGTTGGTTTGAAATCCGGAGGGCAACCACGCCAATTAAGCCAACTTAAGGATAACAGAACACTTGTAAAATCCCCAGCAAGGTCTTCACCATCCACTCGGAGATACCTTAGATTTACTAGTCCAGTGAAGTCCTTACTTGTAAAGCAAGGCTTCTCTATAGGCTCCAATATAGAGCCAAGACTTAGGGCCTCAACCTGTTCTAGACTAACAGATTTTCCCTGCCAATGAATAAAATAAGTTAATAAGGTATTTAGATCTCACAACTTAATATGCTTAATCAAATATAACAATAAAATTCTGTGCACTCAGATCTTACCATCCTTCCCTCCAATATTAGTTGGGCTTCATCCGGATTCCACAGCCTACTACGATTTCCAAAGAAATTATTTTCTTTCTTGACGATATCCTTCCCAAGAGCTATAAGCTGATTGTGCATCCTCAGCTCATTAGCATCTCCCACTTTCACAAGAGACCTGAGCTTAAGCTTCTCAAATTCTCTCTCTGGATCATATTCACGAGCATCCCACAAGTAAAATACAGTTCTTTTATCCATCCCAACAAAAAGACATGCAACATCAAGGAACATTTGTCGTTGATTTGGATTTAATGATTTATAATCTACTTCCAACTTTTTCAAAACATTATCATCCGTTGTTTTTGCGAACTTCTTTGAAGCAGCTTTCCATATCTCTAGATCATTCTGCCCATGTAGAGACGAACCCATAGACTCGAGAGCTAGAGGAAGGCCTCCAGCAAAGGATGCAATCTCCCTAGAGAAACTATCATATTCATTTGGAGGACACTCAGCGTCGAAGGCATGCATGCAGAAAAGTTGAAGAGATTGGCTATCATCCATAAATGGGAGTTGATAAGTCCTTTCAACTTTAAGATCATTTAAAACACCTTTGTCTTTGGTTGTTACTATGATCTTACTTCCTTTGCCAAAGCACCCATCCTTTGCCACAAGACAATTAGGCTCTCCCAATAGAAAATCAAAAAATGAAATGGAACTCACATCATCAAGAACAAAGAGAACTTTCTTGTTACAAAATTTTTTTTTAATACTGTCTTTTCCGGCTTCAACATTTGCAATGTCAACGCTCCAATTCAGTGCGTCAATGCAAAGCTGTTTTTGCAAACTAGCAATAGTACCCTGGAGTTTTCCTTCCTTTTGAATATCTTCAAGGAAGATGGAACAGTCGAGGAAGCTACAACAGTCGAACTCCTGAAGGAGTTCGTTGTAAATGCATTTGGCAACGGTTGTCTTGCCAATACCAGTCATGCCATAAATACCAACAAAGTTAACATCGTCCGAGGAAATATCTAATAGCCTCCTCATTTCATTTTTGTGATGATCCATTCCAACCAACTTTGTAGTTACATCCATGATTTTAATCTTCAACTCCGATTGTACTCGAGGAACAATCTCGTTTGTAATTAATCCTCCTTCATACCTGATTGATGCCGGCAAGGCCAAATAATTAGGGACTAGAAGGAAATTAAAGCAAACCAATAAGAGAGAAGGAAAAAATAAAAAAATAAATGTAAAGTGCAAAAAAAAAAGGCCCTGCCTACGTAAAAAAAATATGCAAGAAACACTAGTACTATTTAGTATGTATATATGAATCTATAAAATTTAAAATTTTGTAGTAAATTACCCTATGATAGCCATTTTTTATTATTATTATTTTTTATTTATTAAAACCCGAAAACAGCATTAATAAATTTTGTGCATTAAAGTGTTTTTTTATTTTTTATTATTTTACTTTAAGGTCATTTTAATTATTTGTCTTTTAAGTTGAGAAAATAACCTTATTTGCTTAATTTGAAAAAAGAGGGGGATTTGTCTTTTTAACACCAGATGGTTTTTGAACATTCCGTATATAACGTGATTTTTTTTTTTAATTTACATTTACCAATATATATATATATATATATAATCATATATATATATGATTATTTATTTTATCTTGTCTTCTTTTGCTTTTTCTGGGTAGGTTATTCATAAGCATAACTGTAGCAAAGACCCAGATAATATAAATTTCAACGAGAGTGAATTACCTCTTCTCATCCACTTCCCAACCAGGGATTTTTCCAGCCTTAGTCAGTGCCTCCTTCCATTGCATCATATCGTCTTCACGGAATTCCCCAGATTCCTTGAGCGATTCCTCGAGCTTGTTCAAGGCCCTCTCGAAAGTACCCCCTCGATGCTTCAGCTTCACTTCATCGGGTGTGACATGGTAGAAGATAGGTAAAATCAGTTGTGGTTTAGTTTGACTTTGGCACTCCAACATCAGCAGTAGCTCCATAAGACACCATTTACTTTCAGCATATCTTTTGGAGAAGATTGGAATTGAGATCTTCGAGTCCCTGATTCCTTTTTCGAGTTCAGTTTTGAGTTTTGTTCCTTGGCGGACCTCTTCATCATCTCGAAAGGTGCGGACTCCTGATTGAATGAGCGAACGGAAGAGGTAATCTGCGAAGCCGTAGCGAGTGTCTGGGCCTCTGAAACTCAAGAAGACTTCATATGCGCCTCCCGGAAGTGATGAGGATGAAGAGTGCGATGCAGCATCTGCCTCAGTGTCTCTTACAGGTACACTTGTCGTCGTACTTGGACCTGCCTCAAACTCCATTTGAGATACAGTCGTCCTCTGTGTTTCCACCTCCATCCATCAGCAAAAATATTTAGAATCTAAATCTTCTGAATGTTGAAAAATAAAATAAATCTTCTACGAGTATTGTACTACCAACCCTATCAAATCTGACCTCTCTATATCTCTTCAGTGTTTGGGCAATGAATCTGCAAATTAAGACTTCCAAACGTACAGCCGAGTTATCTACCCAAGCTATGTCAACATGAATTATCAAAATAATAATAATAACAATAATAAAGAAAGAATACCAATCAGAGACAATATTATCAAGCTACATGGAAGAAGGTGTAGCGAGTGTATGGTCCTCTGAGTCAATTCTGTGGGCGTCATTTGGGAGTTTGGGCAATCGATCTGCAAAGATTAGGTAACAGATGGAAGGTGAGGAGCAAGTAAATACATCTAACCATCCAAATAATTAACTTGCAAGTCAGAAGTTTAGACCCAAATTACAAGAAAAAGAGTAATGATACAATACATAATTGATTTTTTTGTGCCGACTTCAATGGATAGTATAAAAGACGCGTACCATATAAGCATCTCTTAAGTGTGTATCTGAAAGAGTGCTACAGCATTCCATAATAACACTTTTATCATTTTTATAGAAAAATGGAGCAAGAGAAATATGGGAAGAAGAAAAGAGACCAGAGTACCAGCTTTATTCACTCTATGTTCAAGAATACCATGAGATGAGAGACCATCGCAATTATATATATATATATGAATATATATACACACACACACAATGTTGCCGTTTATTTCCGCGTCAACACACCAAACACACACTTCGACCACAGCCTACTAATCACATTTTTTTTAACACACTCCAATAATCACATTTGGCCAATTTCTCTGAGTCGCCACGTCATAGCACGGCATTCACATACACAATAGACACTGTGCCACTCTTTTCTTTGTTAATGCAATTAATGGGGTCGACCCCGTCAGCTGCCAAGACATTCTCTCTTTTGGCTAAAGCCGCAGCACTTGTCAAGCAATCACACAATACTTAGAATAATGGGTAAATTACCACGTTCAATTTGAGAATTTTCATTCGCTATTCATTTTAAAACACAAAATTAGTTACATCATACTTACCCAAAAAATATATATATATTAGTTACATCACAGCTGAGTAATTAATAAAATAAAAAATTAATTCGATTAAATTACATAAACCTGCTAAAGTTTGCTCTAATTACAACAATGGTAAATAGCCTTAATTACACCGTACAATCTTTAGTTTTGCCTGTCTGCTCAAAGACCCTCTCCTATCAACAAGCTGTCAAAACAATCAAAATTTTGCGACATTATGGCGGATTTTCCCCTCTTCGACTGAAAAGAGCATAACAGCCTTTTTAGACTCATAAAAATTCAATTATATCCAAATTTTATGAATTAATATATCTTCTTCTTCTTCTTCTTCCTCTTTTTCTTTTTTTTTTTTTTTTTCACTCTTTTGAGTTGCGCGATAGAGAATGGATGTCAAATTTTTGACTTCAAATAAAATTGAGACGGGGATGAATAGGTAAAACTTGTTCATTTATTTGATTTTTAGTATTTTAATTTTTTATAATTGAAATTAAATCAATCACACAAAGCCAGTAAATAAAGTAAAGTTTGAGGGTGACACTCGAATTTTAGTGTGGAAACCTGTGACGACTCTGGTTTTTCAAGACAGTGCGTCCTGTGATGAACCGAAGATTGATCTGTTAATGGATCCAGATGCGGAAACAAAAAACAAGACAACAGTCTCGCAAGGCACAACACACCTCTAAGACACTTTAATGACCTTCCATGAGGTCGTGAAACTCAATGAGAACTGACGCGGAAACAAAAGATCAAAAAAATAACAATTAAGCCCACATGGGCAAAATAGTTATTTATGAAATTATGGATTCTGTGATGTTTGTGATTTTTTTTTTTACATATATATAATTGTGGTGTAGAAAAAGAAAAAGGAAAATTTTATTTAAAAAGGTAGTGGGATCCACCACTAGCATATATGTGTGAAGCTTAAAGACCCATTTGGTCTCATTCTTCCTCTCTCTCCGGTAGCTCACTCTCACCCTTCTTATTCTCCAATTTATTTATTGAGTTTCTCCCTCAATTTTTTGAGTTTTTAAGTGCCGTTTACGGCAAATTAGAGATCATGGCGAGATCTTCGATTTGATCGAAGCAAAGGTGGTTTTCGTGCACCCTAAGAATATCAAATTCTAGGGTTTGGATTTTACAAAATGGGGGTTTTTGCAATTCTTGAGGTAGGAGTATCTAATCCATAATTTTCTTTGACTTTTGTGAGTTTTCTTATAAAAGTTGTTAAGTTGTTTACTAAATTATGAGTATTGTTTGTGGTTATGAATATTCTATGTATAATGAGCATGACAAGGTGTAAATTGTGTTAAAAATGATACAAATTACTTGAATTGGTTATTGATTTTGATTATATGCACTTGACTATTTGAACGTCTAGTACTATGTTGTCAAAATTGTTAAATGAAAGTTTCTTAATTTAATTTTCCCAAAAATATGTAAATGAGATATAGATGAATTGTATGCAATTGTGTAATAGCATACTTATATAAAATGGATTATGCTTTGTATGCTTGGTACCCTAAAACAATATTGAAGGGAAGCATGAATTACTTATTTTAGAGATTTAATTTGCAAAGCATGTGTGAAATTCTATAGGTGAATTCATGATTAGGAGCATGAAGCATTCATGCATCCATTCGGAAAGGAAAAATGGGAAAAATGTTTTGAAAGCAAATAAAATGATTTTGGGAAAATGTTTTTGACAAGTGTTGCGAAAACCTGGACGCCTCGGAGGCGCCAAGTGGTCCGTGGTGTTAGTGTGATTTAGAGGGGGTTAGAAAGAGACTCTAGTGTGGTTGAGCTACCCAGACGACGCCATGGAGGTGCCATGTGGTCGGGGAAGACTAGCCAACCCCTCCCTCGTGACGCTTTGGAGGTGCCTTGGGTCGGATTACACTAACGGTTTGGAAGTTGAAATGGAAATGTTTCAGAAACGAGAGCGACATGAGTATGGCATTGCACTTCATTGGCATACATGGTGTATTTGTGACTTGGTTGACATTTGGGTTTATATTGGATGTTGTGGTTATGATTTACATCCCCGATATAGTATGATCCCGTTCTCTTATTTTTTATTCTATACGTGGATTCACGGGGTCATAAGAGGTGTGTCTTAGACACTTCCTACTGAGTTTATTTTCACCTCTTTATTATTAACATTTTTCAGGACATGGAATGGAAGTGGCGGACGACGTTTCTCCACAAGGCTTGATAGGTTAGTACACCGTTTTTGACATACTTTGTAGCTATAATCTCATTTTATTACTATTATTTATTTATTTATTTATTTATTATTATTATTATGAGCTTATAAACTCTGGGATGATACGTATATTATGTATTGACATAGGAAAGGACGATAGTGCCCTTAGTTGACCTCGGGTTAGGATAAAGACTCGGTTAGCGATTCAGACCCTCGAGTTTGGGTCATTACAAAATTGGTATCAGAGCAATGGTTCGAATACTATTAGGACGATGGGTAGAGGTCTACCTAGGGTTGTGTGGGAAGTCATTTGTATTAGTTATGTGACTATTTACTAAAGTGTTTTGTTAATTAAAAAGCATGCTTAACTGTCTACTTGTTTACATGTTTATGTGCTTACGGTTTTGAAAGACATGCTTCCTTGCTATGTGTTTGCACGTTTATATGTTTATATGCTAAAGTTTATATTACGTGGCCATGTATGAGGAATAGTTAGATGATCTAACTGTGTAAATGAAATGTGAAAAAAGAAAAAAAAAAGGGAAATCATGTTAATTGTATATGAGGAGTATGGTGACGAAAAATGGTAGGCACGGCGTGTGTAGTTCTAATTTAAATGCTAATGTGACAAACAATAAGCATGGTATATGCAAACATATTTTGTGTAGCATTGTGGGTTTCATTCATTTTGTATATGTACATGTCTATATTCTTATGTGGTTATACGGTTAAACATTGGGATGGTTGCTAGTACGGTGGGGTACTTATCACGACATTGAGGGTTATGCAAGTTTTGACTTAAGTAGGCGAGGAGCTCGGTTGCTTCAGAGTTGTTTGGGTGCCGGTTTTTGTCGAACTAATGGCATGGGCTTCTAGCTCGTGGATTGAATTATTTGGTGTGTAGTCATCATGTTCTTCTTAGTTACATTTTGTGCGGTACTTAGAGCATAACTTTAGGGCGGGTTTATATTTCATGGCATGATGCCCTTGTTGTGTGTGAGTATCATGCATTGGTGTATGGGTTCTGGTGATCGTAGAAGTCAAGTGTGCGAGTGAGGGTTTAGGTATGACCTTAGGAGGTTAGTGTTTACGACTTAGATCACGGTTTGGTATGGAGTTTCTTTTCAAATCGCTCGTGGTAGGTGTGACAGGGGTTGTTTAAGTTACGAATGTAGTCTATGGGATGTAGATATGTATCTTCTAGTATAGTCTAAGGAGGTGTGTTGGTTCTGACTGTCGTGAGTACTTGTTGGATTTTGTAAGTCTGGGGTGATATAGGACCGGATGCAAGGTATGGAGCATTTTGTGTCTTGTAAGAGTCTGTTTTGGAGACTGGGTTATTAATGAGTGATTCTCATTTTGGATAGTTGTAGGAGCATGTTGCGAGTAAATAACTCTCAGTGAGTTGATTACATGGTTCGGTGGATGAGTGGGGCTATAGGTTGTCACGGTTATCGAGAGAGTCTCGAGGTAATGTATAGTGGTTAGTTTTAGCTATATAGTGTAGGATTGCACAATAAGGCAGGTAGTGTAGGGTCAATGGATACTTGGTTATTTGCGGCTAAAGTGACTAATGGTAGGTGTTGTGTTATCAAATGGATTGTGTTCTAGGACTTAGAAGATGTGGATTGGAGTTGAATTTTATGTTGCGTCTGGGGTATGAGGAGATAGTACTTGTTGTTTGAGAATTCGAAGAGATAGACTAATGATTTGAGTGATTGGGATGAGGTTGATCTTGTAGGTCTAGTAGGTAGCCCCATTTGACTTTTGTTGGGGGGCCAAGGGTGTTCTGAAGAATGGGAATGATGAGAAGTAATGATGTTGAACTTGGAGTGTGAAGTTTTCTTGTTTAAGCATGTAAGTTGTCATAGGGAGAGTGGTCTAAGTAGGCGGCTAGGCGTTAGTGATTGATTGCATCGTTGATGATTTTAAGGAGATAATTGGGTGTTGAGCATCCTGATTTCGTGATATCGTTAATGATTTTAAGGAGACAATTGGGTGTTGAGCATCCTGATTTCGTGATCATTTTGAGGATTTGTCAGCATAGTGTTGCCATATAGAGGTTCTTTGTTAAGTGGTGAATAGTGGTCGTTATAAGAGTATCAAGAGTAATGGTTATTTTCTTGTTATGATGGTGTTATCTTAAGGAGGTTTGAGGGAGAATTACTTGGTAGTGGCCTGATGGTTCGGTAGGATGATAGGTTTGAACTGTTGGTTTGAATGAGTGGCAGTAGAGTAGTTATGGTGTGATGTTTAGTGTTGAGGAGCATAACGGTTTAAGGTATGATCTAAATGTGACTTAGGGATTGAGGGTTGTTTGTTGTGTGTTATCAGGAAGGTGATGAAATTATGCGCCAGTTAAGGCAATGGTGGACGTCTTAGTCTTTAGAACCAGTAAGGACAATGTTG